GATTCTGACGGACAGGACTGAAAACAGCAGAGGGGAGGTCAGGGCTTGATGTATTTCCAGCTTTTATGAAGCATCGCTGTGGGGCCGAGATAAACCCAGAGGACAACTCGGAGCTCTGTGGATCAGAATATACAACCCTGTTCTTGGTAGGGATGAATCCAACATCATTTAAAAACCAACGCTTTGTTTACACACCTGTTTGCAGACAAAATGCCATGAATTATTTATCCTGTTCATCATTTGAAATAGAAACACCTGAAGCCCCTCCCTTTGCACGAAACACAAGGTCAGTGAGACCAACAGGAGCGGTTTTCCCCTCAGGGCAAAATCCTCCAGGAAGGTCGAGGTAGGATCTCATTAGGCTAATGGGATCTCTGCAACACCCCACAGTCCAGCAGGAAGACTGCGCTCTGTGACGATGATGTAGCTGAGACTCATGATGAAAAGGATGACGTCTGACGCTCTGGCAGGTTCTGCTCCACCAGGAGATAATGATTAACCTACCATTTCCTAAAACCATCATTAACAGATGGTCAATATTATGAATCACCTGCCAACATGTGAAAAATGAACTTAGCCCATTGTCTAGGTTGGCTTTCAACCAGCTCATTCTTTTTCAAACAGTGTATATATATATATATATATATATATATATATATATATATATATATATATATATATATATATATATATATAAAAATATATATATTTATTTTTAGGACTGAAACAATTGATAGGATTAATCACGATTAACCAATTATTGAAATAATCGTCAATCATTTTAGTAATCGATTAATCGTTAACTGGAGTAAAGAGACTGTAAAATATGCCTTTAGCTGACAGAACTACCAACTTAGAGCAGCAATTACACCAAAATTGTGAAAAAAATAAAATAAAAATCTGTACACATTTTGCATTTAAGATAATATTTTTAGTCTGTCAACATACTCTGTCAAGAACTCCTCAAGTGGAAAAGCTTTATTTTCACTTGGTTTAATTTAGCAAAAAGTCTTCTTTAACCCTATAATGCCAAATGTATCGTATTTGATACATACGGTTTCTGAAATGTTTTGCGTCTGACACCTTTTGCATAATTTAATGGTAAAAACTTTGCTCAAAATCCTATTGTACACAATCAGATATACCTGATAACAGCCAGTAGAAGACTACACAAAAAAGAATCTTGACTTATCGCATAGTAATAAATTATTAATATCAAAAATGTATTTCTGTTTTTTCTTTTTACATATTTTGTTAAAAGGGTGAATAAGGAATTCAAACAAAAAAAAATTATTTTCTGTTTTGTTTTATTCTTGGATCAGGCTTTTAAGGGTTAAGGAACCTTTTGCTGTGCGATCAATCAATTAATGGGAAAAATAATCGACAGATTAATCAAGTTGCAAAATAATGGTTAGTTGCAGCCGTAATATATATAACTCTCCATCACGTTGCTCTCAGGACTCAATGCAGACCAGTTTTCTTTTTTCATTTTTCCTCACCAAACTTGTTCATCCTTGCGCATTGTTGGAACAGGAAGGGAGCATCACCAAACTGATCTAATGCTGAACTCCGTTAATGGACTGTGGAATATTTAGAAGCAGAATTTTACAAATAAATCTGTTGCAAAGATCTAACAACAGATTTTAGTCATTTTCTTAAATATTGGTAAAGATCAAATACTTAAAAGTGGGCTGATATTAGAACCGTCTTGTTGTGTTCTGGGTTCTTCATTAAACCTTAATGAAATCAATATGCCTGCAAGCATCAGCCCACATTTTCAGGTTGATGCTACTTTAATAACTGCTAAAGTTAATAATTTGCTTTTTTTGTGGCCCTTAAAATACTGCATTCTTGCGATATTGTCTTATATCTAAATCTTTTACGTTTGGGATGAATAGATCCATAACAGGGTACTTTGAATCTAATATATTTTACAGCCCTATTGAATGTCATTAATGCCTGATTCCCAATTAAAAACATCCTAGAAGCCACAAAAACAGCCCCAGATTTTTTTAATGAGTCAGAGAACATGGCAACAGATTATTTGTTGATATGTTGCTTTAGTTTTCAGCTTCCACACATTTCCAAACACCCAGAGCGTAACGGGGCCACCTCCATGGGTTTACTGAAACAATGAATAGACGTCTGAGTGAATATTGGATCAAAGCCTCCGCATTTAATCTCATCAGTTCCAAAAAAACAGGCTGGCTGATATGTAGAGCGCATAAGGAATGGATCCATGAGCTGCAGGGCCAGTAAATAAATGGGATGCAAATGTAATGAGAGAGCAGAAGGAAGATGGAGGGGTTTGGATTGTTTCCGATAGTCATCCAGAATGTTTTTTTTTTTTCTTTTTCCACGTGTCAGTCCTGAGGGGCAATGAGAGGACGGCTTTCCCACACTGGAAATGGAAACACACAATGAGCTCCCCGGGGATCCTGTTTTTGGCAAAGACTTGTCCAACAGGGTGAGGCTATGACCACAGCCAACAAAACCCTCTGTGGTGGTTAATATTACCAGCGCAGAGGTAAATGATCTGCATAGCAAATCGATCCCTTCCTGATTCAATCAAGTTAAGGACACCAACTAAAAAATTTTTAAAGTTTATTTCTGATTCCGTTGATTACTTCCTTTATAAATACTTAAAATGGCTTGCTCAGGACAAAAACTCTAAAAGCAACAAACTGAGTTTATTAGCTTTTAAGAAAATAAACCAAACACTAAGCAACATTCTTTAGGACTTAATGATTGGTAAAAAAAAATTATATATTGCAAAACAGTTAACAGCTCACTGATTTGGTAAATATCTAAAGTATAAAAAGAAAAGGAGCTGCATTAAGGATGTATTTTTCCAGGGTTTGCTTATCGTCAGATGTCCAGGGTCGAGCTGTCACTGCCAGGGTCAGCTGCTCTGTCTCTTTCCAGGGACAAGGCCAGCTGATTAGCCTGAAAGAGACAAATCATCTTCTACCAGCTTCCTCTGAAGGTCGTCAACACAGACGCTGTGCAATCTGAAAGGTTAAAATAAACGCTGACTAAAAAAAACTAACCAAGCCTGGCTCCAAATCAACAGCTTTTTGTGAGAATAAGACCCTGGACTTCTGCGTTTTAACACCGAACCTCAATCCAGATGGATGGTGGGAAAGTCACGCCTTACTGAAACACAAAGCCAGTCACTGAAAGCAGAGCCGCAGTCTTCAGTAAAAGTTTGCCGAGAGGACACCTCTGTTTTTGTGGATCTCTGCAGAAAGGCGCCCAGAGTGTATCTTCTTCACATGATCAAACCACCTAAACTAAATGCTTTGGATGCACAGGAGCAGCAGCTCCTCGCCTTATCTCTAAAGGCTGGGTTATGCTTGATGAACAGCGTTTATACTCTATGCGATTTTCCCCGGCTGTCCCCAATATTCTGGCTGAGTCACAGACTGCAGGCTTATAAATATAACTATGCAACATGTAGAGCTTTTTAAAGCCTCTTCATGTCATCCAACTGTGACAATAAGACACAACTGTGTTCAATGCTTTTTTTTTTTTTTTAAACAATCTATTGCTTTTCTGCACCCAAAATCAGGCTATGCAAATGGTGCATGGATGCTAAAAATCACATATGACTGCACGGAGGCTTCTAGCATAAACCAGGCTTAAGGTCAAGTCGAGCCATCCTGCAGAAGATCATGTGAGCAAGGAAACACTAGGTCCTCTGCACCCCACAAGATGATTCGGTACGGGGTTTGTCATTTCTTAATCCTCTACTTGTGGATTCTATGACAGTTCCTTTTGGATATTACCGTAAAAAAGCATCCCCAAAGCATGACTCATCCACCCCCATACATTCGTTTAGCATGTGGTTGGGTCACTTAGAAAATAGAAGAGTCATTCAAAGTCATCTAAACAGGCTATATGGTGTAAGACTTGTATCCAGGCAGCACATAGTTACAAGTAAGAAATATTTTCCCAAATATAAACTGATTTACTCATTGTGTGAAAATATATATACGGTATATAAGAAACACATCACAACCCACTAAAATGCTGCATTAGAGAAGCTTCGATTTTGAACACACTTAAATTGCAGTGAAGGATAAGATTGGACTAAATGTGCAACTTTGATTGGTGTAAATAAAAACCCACAGGAGCAGAAGTAATGTCAGTCCCTCATCCTTTGCGTCCAAGCTTTGCTGTTCCATCCCAGAAGGACCTCAGTCCATAGGGGAACACAAATCCCTGCTTACTCTGGATCTGTTCCCAGAACAAGCCTCTTTTGGAGTCTTTTTATACCAGCAGTGCAGTGAGAAGGAAAAAATATATATATTTTTGGGGGAATAAAAAAAAAAATGCAATAAACTCCCAACTCCTCCAGGAGGAAAAGAAACAGTCAAAGAATGACACAGTCAGGGCTCTAGTTCTACTGAATCGTGCCTTTCTACACAGAGCTCCAATAAATTACAGTTATCAGACCTCTGCTCTCTATTCATTCATAACGAACAATAAAATGTCACCTTTTTCCTTTCCTTTGGCTTAAGTTTATCTACTGAATATTAATGATGCAAAGCATCAGTCCTTTTGACACGTCCAGAAATGTAAAACCGTAGGTCACAACCACTGTGCTCACACTTTATGACTGAATGTCCAGGTATATCACGATTTCAACCCACAAACACACACCTGAACACGAATCCCTTAGCAGGAGCTGCTTCAACAATGAACAGCACAGTCTGACATACAGCCTCAGAAAAAACAGGGAAGTGAGGCGTGAGATAATGAGGCAAAAACCGTCCAAACAGACAGACAGTTGCACTGGGCATGCAGGAGGCTGCAGCAAATATCAACTCAGAAAGACATGGTTGTCATGTCGAATCTGAGACAAACTTTGTTTTCTTTAGCATTTAATTACCCAAATTCATCAGGTTCAGCTGGTCTCTAAGGCTCATAAATATTAGTATTTAAATATTTTCTGTTTACCAAACCAATTAGGAATTAAAGCCATAAAAATCACGTACCTGTACGACTTCTATTCCTCTTTTCCTGAAAAAAAAGAAAACACAAAGTCAGTTTTCTTCAAAAAGAAAAGAAATTGATTAACTTCAGCATTATTTTTGCATCATAGCCCACTAAATATATTCATGCTTTCATGGCAAGCAGCTTAGAGCCTCAATATAGGGATACAACATGTATCATTAGCATCAGCATCTGTCAATGTTGGTCAATCTGAAACCTATCAGGACCGGTCCGATATAAAAAAACAAACAAAAAAAAACTAGGCCGATATTAAGATCCCATGTTTATATGCAGTGGGTCTTGTGTCCAAAGGGTAAGAATGTGTATAGGATGCAAAATGGGTAAATATAGTTTATTGAAAATAATATAAATTATTATCAGATATTGATGTTGGCCTAAATTTTAAAATCGGTGCTTTAACTTTATGTTTCATCAGATCCATTAAAGAAATCCTCAGCTGAAGACAAGACAGGATTATTATGAAACACACAGAGAACAAAACTGATTCTATTAATTTATTTCCTTAAAAAGAAGAATGAGTTCCCATTCGTTCACAGTGGCTTTATTTTGTTTAATAAATAATGACCTTTTGGAGAAAAACATGCATGTTTTTCCATTATTTGTTATCCCTGGATTATTTTCCTCTTTTAAAAGTTCATAATGATTTACATCTCATTTCTCCCCTTCTGAGAAGTACAGGTGCTGGTCATAAAATTAGAATATCATGAAAAAGTAGATTGATTTCAGTAATTCCATTTAAAAAGTGAAACTTGTATATTATATTCATACATTACATACAAACTCATATATTTCAGATGTTTATTTTGTTTAATTTTGATGATTACAAATGACAACAAATGAAAATCTCAAATTCATCATATCAGAAAATTAGAATATTACTGAAGACCAATAAAAACAAAGGATTTATAGAAATGTTGGCCAACTGAAAAGTATGAACATGAAAAGTATGAGCATGTACAGCACTCAGTATTTAGTTGGGCCTCCTTTGGCCTGTATTACTGCAGCAATGCGGCGTGGCATGGAGTCGATCAGTCTGTGGCACTGCTCAGGTGTTATGATAGCCCAGGTTGCTCTAATAGTGGCTTTTAGCTCTTCTGAATTGTTGGGTCTGGTGTATTGCATCTTCTTCTTCACAATACCCCATAGATTTTCTATGGGGTTAAGGTCAGGAGAGTTTGCTGGCCAATTAAGAACAGGGATACCATGGTCCTTCAACCAGGTACTGGTAGCTTTGGCATTGTGTGCAGGTGCCAAGTCCTGTTGGAAAATGAAATCTGCATCTCCAAAAAGTTGGTCAGCTGCAGGAAGCATGAAGTGCTCTAAAACTTCCTGGTATGTGGCTGCGTTGACCCTGGACCTCAGAAAACACAATGGACCAACACCAGCAGATGACATGGCACCCCAAACCATCACTGACTGTGGAAACTTTACACTGGACTTCAAGCAACGTGGATGAAGTGCCTCTCTTCTTTTCCTCCAGACTCTGGGACCTTGATTTCCAAAGGAAATGCAAAATTTACTTTCATCAGAGAACATGACTTTGGACCACTCACCAGCAGTCCAATCCTGTTTCTCTTTAGCCCAGGCAAGACGCTTCTGACGCTGTCTGTGGTTCAAGAGTGGCTTGACACAAGGAATGCGACAGCAGAAACCCATGTCTTTCATACGTCTGTGTGTGGTGGTTCTTGAAGCACTCACTCCAGCTGCAGTCCACTCTTTGTGAATCTCCCCCACATTTTTGAATGGGTTTTGTTTCACAATCCTCTCCAGGGTGCGGTTATCTCTCTTGCTTGTACACTTTTTTCGACCACATCTTTTCCTTCCCTTCGCCTCTCTATTAATGTGCTTGGACACTGAGCTCTGTGAACAGCCAGCCTCTTTAGCGATGACCTTTTGTGTCTTGCCCTCCTTGTGCAAGGTGTCGATGGTCGTCTTTTGGACAACTGTCAAGTCAGCAGTCTTCCCCATGATTGTGTAGCCTATAGAACTAGACTGAAAGACCATTTAAAGGCTTTTGCAGGTGGTTTGAGTTAATTAGCTGATTAGAGTGTGGCACCAGGGGCCATCAATTTTGAACCTTTTCACAATATTCTAATTTTCTGATATGATGAATTTGAGATTTTCATTTGTTGTCATTTGTAATCATCAAAATTAAACAAAATAAACATCTGAAATATATGAGTTTGTATGTAATGTATGAATATAATATAAAAGTTTCACTTTTTAAATGGAATTACTGAAATCAATCTACTTTTTCATGATATTCTAATTTTATGACCAGCACCTGTACAGTTTGAAGCTGTGTCAGCAGACAACAAATAAAGTTATATAAATTATGATTAATCTCCGGAAAGACTTTGAAAAAAAAAACACTTTTATTGAAGAAGGAAAAATATTATCTCTCCTGAATTTTAAATCCGAAGCCATCAGAAGCACGCATCTTTGAGGCATTGTGACTTCTGTTAGGAGAGTTTGTTCGGACAAACCTGAACGGCCTCACAGCTGCAGGTGAGAGAAACAAGCAAGGGGGAACAGAACGAGTTCAGCCATGCTACAGCTCAGCCATTCTGGCGCAGCTGGTTTTACAGGCCCATGGTAACAGCAACATGGCCGTTCACGGCTTCACAACAATGCAGCTGGCGGCTTTCATGTGGAGCGAATCGGGCCTCGGCTTGAGATATGAAATGGATACATCTCAGATATGCAGATCCCTTCTCTCCGATGCATAGTTTAAGAGGCTGCAGATGAATGCTTTAAAGTATTTTTATCATCTAACAAAGATAACCAGGGGAAAGAGAGCACACAGCCAGATGAAGTCAGCTAAAACAATTAGAGAGCAGCATGCCATGTTCCAATGAAATTCAAGAAGAGATGAGACGCAAGGTCACAGACCTCTACCAGACTGGAAAAGGGTTGCAAAGCTCTTTCTACTACAGTTATCCTCACCGACAGCCATTAAAGTAAATATAGAGCAACGTTTGACTTCCAAAACTTAGTCTAATCCCGTCTAACCCAGGAGGTCAAACATTTACACAGAATCACTAAAGCGCTGCAAGCCTTCAATATCAGCATTCATGATGCAACAATAATTAAGAGGCTGTGTTGACTAAAAACAAACACCTTGTAGTGGCCTAGTCAAAGTCCAGACTCAAACTTCCTTATCAAGCTTTGCCATAACTTTAAACAGGATGGGCGTCCCCTCCAAAATAAATAAATAAAATGTATCCCTTTGATGATTTCAAAACCAGGTCAAACTTAAACGGCTAAGTTTGTGTGAACAGACTAGGAATCGAACTTTGGTTGTTTTTAATTTTCCGAATCATAATCAAACAAAAGCACACTTAAAGGGTGTATATGAAAATATATTTGATAATTTTTGTAAAAAAAAAAAAAAAAAAAAGAAGCAGACTGTCTGAGACGTCTTCATCCAGCTCAAAGAGATCGGTTTGTCTTCAAAGAAAAAAAAAGCCTAAAACTTTTACACAGCGATGTAATTCATTGACTGCTCGCTGTTGCTGTTAAAGGTGGAAGAGTTTAGGGATTGATTACTTTTATCAAATAGGGTCTTCTTTTTTTAGAAAGCCTGTAAAATTTACTATGGAGTTGTTTTTTATTCAGGCTATCTTCTTTAGAAGCGAAAATAAGTTTGATGACCTGAAACATGCATGTCAGCCAAAGAAAAACGAACAACAGAAGAAACCTGGGTGCAAATACAGTATATTTCACTAAACTAAATCTAATTGTAAAGCTACATGTAACATGTAACGCTTAAACTTTCCACTTAAAATAAACAAAATAATTAGTTAAGAAACACATGCATCAAAGAATGGCAGCAGTAATCTGCATCCAGTGTAGTGATTTGACACGTGCAGGTGTAACCTTGTTTCATGTCATCAACCCAGCTAAAGCAGAACACAGTAACCTTGTTAAGTCAGGAAAAAAACAAAACAAAAAAAACAACAACAATGTTTTCATTAAAGATCTGCTCTGAAGGCCATCGTTTCAGCCTGCAGGCGGCTGTGACCAGACCAGGCTGTAGGACGGGCCTAGCTACAGGCAAGGGGAAGACAGGGACGAACGCACACGCTTATTACATGCATGTTTTACGCTCTGCATGCTTGAATGTAAGGCTTAAGCTGCTATCACCTTAAAAAAAAGAAAAAAAAACAAAAAACAGACGCCAATGAAGACAAGACATCCAGAGAAGCATCAGATTATTATCAGTTGAATCACTTCCTTCCTCCATTCTTTGAGCTCGGAGAGAAGAACCTGAAGAAGAGGCGGCGGTTGTGTTCGGGTCACAGAAACATTTCAGTTTTCTAGGGCAATCCTGACAGACCCTGATCTATCATATAACAATGTTACCTCCTTCTTTACTCCCCTGTTTAACATTGTTTAGTGTGTCCCTGAGGACGGCGAGAGGAGAGGTGAAAGTAGAAGGTGTTCGAACATTTATAAAGAGATTAAAAATGTTTTTAGTGGAATATGTTCAGATAATCGGAACTAGCCCAATCAGGTTGCCTGGCCAGGCAGCACTGCCGTAGCAAAGGTGAGAAACCCTCAGGGAATACAGACGTCTTTCCCAACCTACTGCCCAGTATACCTAGCATCTAAAAGATATGAAAAAGATTATCAATTTGCTAAATAGAGGTGCGTCTCTGGTTTTCCAGGAATACTGAAGCAACAAAAACCCCTAAGCCATGTTGCCACTGTAGATAAGGGAAGATAATGGAGGGGCTGCCATGCCCTGCAGCCCTTTTCAACAAGCTGCATACTGAGAAATGTGAATCAGTTTAACTTATGTCTCCAAAGAAAATCAGAGCGCTCTTTGTACCAGTCAGCAAACCATTTACCTCTGCTGGACCTGGAAGCAGTCCAAAAAAACAGAGTCCATTAACAGAGAGGAGCTGCCTCCTCTCAAGGCTGGAGAATAGGAACAAATCTAAACAACACAAAGGCATCAAGTCTCAACAAGAACCGAGACGAGCCGTAAACCGTCCTATGTATTCCTCTATAAAGATTTTACAACAGCTGCTCGGTGCATGCAGAAATCCTTGAAAACATTTAAGCTTGACTTCAGGAGAAATCATTTTAAATAGGAATATATATTTTGTTTTAATCTGAGATATGACTGTAAATGTAAAATAAGAACCTGATTTTGTGAGAAGTTGAGATAGAAAAGCTTCATCATAGTGGAAAACTTTTGAAAAGAAAGCATTAAAAATACCACTTTATAACAGTGGACACCTATAAAGCATAAAAAACAGAAAATAAAAGATAGTGAACACGGTGCTTCACTACAATCACAATTTTCTGGCTTATTCCCTTTTTCCCTCTTATAATAAACAGTGCAGAGTTAGAGATGATTTCTGGCACAGAGTTACAGAAATGTGCCTTCTGGTTTGGTAGCAGCTCAAAGTTTAAACCAACATCAAAGTTAATCAAAGGTACAATTTAAAAATCAAGTACAGGCTGTAAGCTGAACAATAGATTTCAGAAGCAGCACCCTTCCACCTTCTCACATACTGTCTGCAGAAACCAAGATCCACAGCAGGGTTCTGATCCAAACCAACCATCCAGTAGAAAATAACCACAAACCTGCAGAGATCAGCAAAGGCCTGGAAGTTCAGCTTCTTAATCTTCTTCTCACTGAGCCAGTAGCCCACCCTGCGACCCCTCAGGAAAGTCTGCATCCTTTCAGCGCTGCTTGGTCTCCTCTGGAGGGAAATCCGAGGATGATGGTGAAGATGATGGGAGACTCCACCTGCAGGGATAGGGGGTAGGAAGTCAGTAACAGCCAACCACATCTGAGGAGATCATCAACAATCAGTGCTGGGAGGCTGCCCACGTAGGAGGAGTGGTAACAACTAATACTCCTGACCCACGCAGGAGGAGCTTTCTGCTCAGACCCGCTCTGATATGAAAGGTTACAAGAAGTGTGTCTGAATCCAACACGCTCCTTCCCTGTGCTGCTAACAGCCACTGCTAACGATAGCAGTCTAGCTAAACCTGAGTCCTGAGCAGCTAACAGAAGCTAACAGCTCCCCCAGGCTGAAAACATTCCATAGAAACCTCAGAATATCATCCCTGTTGAGTGTTAGAAACACGGAGCTAACAGGTAGATGCTAACCTGCAGATAAACTAACTGATCAGACCAGTTAGGCTGTTGGAGAGAATGAGGCTCAGACTGCTAACTAACCTGCAGGTTTAGCTCCGGGGACGGTCCGTGTTTTCCTCTAGAACTAGCTCAGAGAATTGTCCATGATCCGCTCCGAGAGCAGGGAGACCCGAGGAGACCGAGAACAGACACGGCTGAACCAGGCAGAGATGTTCCCGGTGTTTTCCTCTCCCTGACTCCCTCTGTCAGCTTGACTGACTGCACACACCCTTGGTCCTAATGCTGCCTTCACTGACTGCACTGAAATAGCAGCGCCTTCTGAGCTGACGGCACGCGCACCTGGCTCTAGCTGCTGCCTTCACGGAACGCTCAGGAATGAGAAAATCTTTCAAGATGAAGAATAAAACGGTTTAAATAAAGTCAACATTTCTGGCTATCTGCTTATAGAAAACAAAACGATACAATTTTTTTTTTAAAAAGAACACGACATTCAAATTATTTAGAGCTAAACCCTGTTTATGAATGTATATACATGAGTAAATCAGCGGGTAACTTTTATCGACGTTACATGGAACGAGAACGCCCCCTGCTGGAGAATCGAGGAATAGCCTATGTTTGCAATTATAATAAATAAAGTTAAATAAAAACGATTTCGTTTTTGTTGGCCTACCTTAAAGCTACAGTGTGTAATAATTACAGGGATATACAGTCAGAAATGTAATATATTATACATAACTATGTTATTTATCATCATCTACGAGCTCAGCCTCTTAACCTTAATATTTGCGTTGCCTTAGAATTCGTTATTTATAATTACATAGGAGCAGGTCTCGCATCCATGGAGGCAGACATCTTTGCGCTACGGCAGTGCAGAGCCTACAAACTAGCGATTGCGAGATCGCCAAAACGTCACAACGATGTAGAAAAAATAACGGGTATATTTATTATCTTAAGTCTACATGAAATCTATACCCTACACAGACTAATGAAATACTATCTGTAAAATTATCTATGTAAACAGACCTCATCACTTGAGAAGGTAGGTGATGCAGACATCGTGGAAGACATTTTGTCCCGTAACGCTCGCCGTACTGTTGGGGGGGAGAAGCGGTGGGGGGGAGATGTTCATGTTGCTGCAGTCTGCAGTCTGACCGCTAGATGTCGCTAAAAGTTACACACTGTAGCTTTAATAGATTGTTGAACTTTTTAAAATGTCATTATATTAACCACCTCTAAATATTTAAGTTTAAATTTAGATCCTAATCCAAATAAAATTTTTTAGATCATTTTATCTTGAATTTCTGACACAAGTATAGAGAATATTTGTCTATTCATAGTAAATTATTATGTACAATTAAATTCAGTTTAGTTTATTGTTGTTGTTTTTTTTGCAGCAACAGACCTTAAAGAAATGTAGTGTTATTTGTTCTTAAATCCTTACTACTTTTCATTTGTAGCTATTTATAGGGAAATTATATTTCTTCTTCATGTCGTGGCTCAAAAGGAGCCAACTGGAACTCTCACAAATTAGGCTGCTGTAGCATTTCCATTAGTATGTTTTACACCGTATTTCCTTATTTTATGACTGAAAAATATTTTGGCTGGAATATTTTCTTTTGTTGCCCTTTAGTTATTTATTAAACCAGATGCAGAAGATTTCCTTAAAGTAGCTGGAGGGTTTTTTAAATACTACAGATTTCAGGTTTCTGGTTTCTAAGCTGTTTCTTCGCCCCTTTGCACTCATTTTTCATGCTTTCGATGCTCATTCCTAATACTAGTTCACTTCATCACCCCAAACCAAACTTTTACAAAAATGTAAGATTTTAGACCATCATTGTTCTACTAATACTGTGTTTTTGAGGTTAGCTGGTCTAAAATGGTCTTGCACAAAATAAAATCTGGCAAAACTTTAAGATTACACTTATATGAAACTATGTTTTGATTCAATTGCTAAAATAAACCAAAAAAAAAAAAACCAAAAAAAAAAAAAAACAAGAAACAAATTGTCCAAATCCCTGTGTGCATATAAAACAAATATACTCCTTTATAGGGAGGATGTTTGCCTAGTGGGTTAGAGCAGTGCACATCCTGCACTCTGGGTCCCTGAGCAAGGCCCTTAAACCCACATTGCTCCCCAGGTGCCGCACAGTGGCAGCCCACTGCTCCCTAAGGGGATGGGTTAAGATGCAGTGTTTCTCCAGTGTGTGATCTATAAAGTTCCATTATAATCACAGTTCCACCAGCTGGCGCTGTGGGGTGAGGTACAGATTGCAGACAGACAGCAGAAATCATCACCTCTATCAGCAGCTGTCTTGTTAGTGTCATCATCATCATTAACTTTATTTGAACAACAGTTTTACAAAGTTTTACAACCAGACGACAAAATATTTTTGAGGACTCAAAAGCCCATACCCCATTTCCATATAAAAGATTTTGCTAACATGTTTACACAATACATAGCTTCTTTAAATCTACAGCTTCTTTAGTTCTCCTTCTAAACATTTATGTTACACAAACCATTTGTGAATTTTCCAGTGTGTAAATTGTGCATTGCTTCATGTGATTTATGCAGTTTCCAAATAAACTATGTTAGTCCCATTTAATGTTTTTGATTTTCAGGAAAAATTATTTGGCTGCATGGTGGTGAAGTTTGTGGCACTGTTGCCTTGCAGCAAAAAGACACAATTCCTCATGTTGCATGGAGTTTGCATGTTCTCCCCATGCCTGCATGGCTTTTCTCCAGGTGCTCCGTCTTCCTTCTACAGTTCAAAAACATGACTGTTAGGTTAGTTTGTAACTTTAAATGGTCTTTAGGTGTATATGGTTGTATATCTCCTGTGACAGACTGGCAACCTGTCCTTGGTGTAGCCTACCCTCTTGCCCATAGACTGCCGGTGATTGGCCCAGACCCCACAGCGACCCTGATGAAATAAGCGGGAGAAGATGGATGGATGGGATTTGTGTGATCTCTGTAACCAGAGGTATAAATTATCCTTATGGCTCTTTTATGAATAGTGGTTGTATTGTATATTTGCAGTATGACCCCAGACCTCTGCACAGTTAAGTAAATATGGAAGAAGCAGTGAACAATAGAGAATATAGAGTGATTTCTGATCCAGATTGTGTTTTAAGACAGAAATACTCCTGTTAATTTGCAATGTTTAATATACATTTTGAGATGTCCAGTTTATTTGATTGGTTATTACCCAAATAAATTTGTATTACATGTACTTTTTCAATTCCAACCCCATCCACTTGTACTGATACTTTTGTTTGAATTGTTATTGCACTTATCAACTAACTGGTTTTACTGATGATTAAAAATTAATTGTTTCTCTTAAACCCACACTTTCAGTTTGTGCATTTTGGTACTATTAATTCATAGATAATTCTACAGAGTTGTATCATATAGAGTAGGGCTCAAACAGTTAATAGGATTAATCGCGATTCATCGATTATGGAAATAATAGTCAACTAATTTAGTAATCGATTAATCATTAACTGGAGTTTCAAGACTCTAAAACATGCCTTTAGCTGACAGAGCGACCCACCCTGAGCAGCAATTATACCAAAACTGTAAAAAGAAATAAAATAAAAAACTTTTTTTGTCTTTCAATATGCTGTTTCCAGAACTCCTTGTGTGGAAAAGTGTTAGATTCTCCTGGTTTAATTTTGTAAAAAGTCTTCTTTAAGGAACCTTTTGCTATTTGACTATCAATTGTAAAAATAATCGACAGATTAATCAATTTGCAAAATCATCATTAGCTGCACCCCTAAAATAAATTATAACCAGTTTTGAACCTAATACTGCCCCTGGGGGATACCACAAACACCATAGTCACAAATTGTTTAAATTATTATTGAATAATTTCTTCCCCAGTGCAATTCTTACCCCCTGATCCCATTGAAAAGTGTATTGAGTAACATGCTATATTTGATTGTGTTAAGAAAATTCTATGTAGATCTATGCATATTCCAGAGAAAAACAATTTTTGTTCTATGGAGCTTAACATTTTCTTCAATTGAATCTGTCAATGTTCTAAATCCATATTAATTGTCAGAGAGTACTTTATGTTTATCAGTGACATTTACTAGTTTATTATATATTTTTTTGCCATTTTTGGAAAAATGCATGGGTAAAGAAATAGGTCTATAATTTGTTAAGTGATGTCTATCCCCCAGTTATACAACTTTAGCAATTGTAATTGCATCAGGAAATGTCCCAGTGTGGAATAACAGATGGATGTTAGTGGTTCTGAAATCCCCAAAATGACTTTTTAAAACTATTTTCATATCAATTTCACTTAAACCAGTAGATGATTGCTTTGCGTCATATCCATTTTCTTCAACATCTCCAAGGAACTTTTGTTGTGTATTAATCTGCACTAATCATAAGATAAAATAAAGTTAATGTTTTATAAGTTTAAAGTTGTTTTCCCAAATACTGTTATAAGAGCAATTCAAGGCCAGAGAGGAGAACAGCAGAGCAGTGAGTATGTGTAACTATTGCACCTGGCCCCAATAGGAGTGAAGTCTGCAGGACAACGCAGGGTTGAGGCTCCTTAGTGATAAGAAAGCACACTCAATAAAAATGAAATATTTGACATCTCAAGGTTGCCCAGCTCAGCAAAATTTGGCCATACAAAAAGAGTTGTTATTTTCAAGGCACACGGAGCGGTAATGGTCCCAGAAAGGGTGATGCTTTGACTAAGATACGAAGGGGGAGCAGTAGGCCAGACTGACATGGCTTGAAGCAAGGGAAAGATGTGTTCTGACATGTTTGTGACTAAACCGTCATAAGTTTCTGATTTGAATGCACCAGATGTTTTCATGGCCTGAGAGATTGCTCTCACAAGAATGAGATGTGTCTATGAATGTCACCGTGTTTTGCAGATAAATATCAATGTGACCTTTACCAAAGACTGAAATATGTTCTGAAGGGGGTTTTCCACCGATAAGAAATGTATAAAAGGGAGCTGTGTTCACCATTTGTTCAGCTTCGGCTCACCGGTGACCAGCTCAGTGTGAATGTGTTGTGTTTAGCAATAAACACACTGGACCCTGACTCAGCTGCCTCTGCCTAAATTTTTTGATCTTTGTTTGAGACTTTTTCTGCTTTTTAAGAACTTTGAATTTTTATAAAACTTAGCTTCAATTTTAAGTCGTCAAGAAGAGAATTATAGACGACATAATTGGCGAGCCAGCCAGGAGGAAAGCAAAAAGGGGACGTCGGACGATCTGCAGGCACCAGCTGGAGAGCGTGGAACCCCAAGGGCCCATAATTCACCATTAAAG